AAGGAAGAGAACAGAGTAGAGAAGAGGAGGAGATAGAAGAAGAGAGAACAGGGAGGACGGAATTTTTAAATTTTTGGGCACGTGTCGTTATAAGTTTACGGGCCCACTGCCTTCGACGCGTCCATTGCTCCCGGCCCATCCTACAGCTACGATGTCTCTGCGCTTCATCCCCGAAATTACTGCATATCAACAATTTTATGGTGGGGGATCACCCAGAGAGAGGTAGGGAACCTTATAATATCAATCCTTATAAGGTCTTGTTCAAATATTTCTAATTCCAGAAGTCGCCTCAAGAGAGGCGACACTTAAAAATATTCTATGCCCTGACCTGTAGCTGAAATGAAAGAAGGAGCACACAAATCACAATATGATACCTTGCACAATTTATATAGTGGGATCATCCCCCAGAGGGAACTCTCATAGAGACCTGTATCTGAAATGATAGTAGGGGTACACAAATCAAAGAAGTCAATATATCTTACTATTTCTTTATTAACAATAGAGTACATGTATAGATTTTACAAGTCAACAAAATACAAGTCGCCATATTGACACAGAACTTACGACTTGCATCGTCGCGCATATATAAACAAGTAACACGTCAAAATGTTCTACCGGGATAAAGAAATTAGCCCATTTTCTAGGTGATAGAAAATGGAAACAAATTTACAGGGTGTTACAAAAGAAAATTCAAAGAGCAAGGAGTTTATACAAGGTGTCACCAATAGAAAATTCAAGCATCAAATATTGCTCGCTTTACCCGATGCTCCGGGAAACTAATAAACAGGGTGTTACAAAAAAAATCGAGTGCAAAAAAAGGCCTAAAATCACAGCTGAAGGAAAATTTTCACTGACACAAAGAAAAGCGAATATACCGTGTGTTCCAGAAGGAAAATCCCAAGTTTAAAATAAAGAGCACTCAAAACTCACAAATAAAGGCCATTTACTACATACTGTTAGGAAAACTAATATACAGGGTGCTACAAAAGGAAAATTTTAAAAACTACAAATATGGTCAATATTCACATTATGACGAGAGAAATATATACGGAAACAACTATATTTTAACATAAATTCAAATTTTACTCGAAAATCATCGGAAAAGTTAGGTAAAAAAGGTGCTACAAGAATAAAACACTTACATTTTAATATATTGTGTATATATTTATCATTTGATAATAGCATCCACTGCATAAGGTAACCGACGGGTGAAGAATCATCACAAATTGATAGAACATCCGTCGGAAAACACCCAACTCAGCAGACGGCAAGCGACGGCGCGTGGTAATACAGTCGGTAAGTACGATAAAAATAACTAGTTACTTGTAAATATTAAGATATATGGAGACTATGATAGCAAATAACTATTCAACGTACAATATTTTATTATTAACTTTATAATTTAATGATGCTAAGGAGTGTAATTCGTTTAAAAACGTTCAGCGAAAAGAAGAACGAGCCGACGGTCGACGGCAAAGTGAGTGTGGTCGACCACATGAATATTGTCATTTTAATACTCCTAAGATACTTTAATAATTAAATTATGCATGGTATTTTTGGAAAAAGAACTAAGAATTCTGATCAAAATGTTACCACATGTTTGTTATTTGCAAAATTAATATCCCTCAAATGGAATAATCAAATTAAGTTAAATCGTCTTAACTTACAGCGAAAACAGTGATTACGCACCTACCAGTGCATTGTTGAAGAGATTTTATATCCAGGAATATATCTTATCAACTGAAAACTCGCGCAGAGATTAACACACACTTATTTCTTACTTAAGAACACTCTAGCCGTCACAACTCATAAAAAAAAACAGCCATACATACTCGTTACGAGCTGATAACAAAAAGAATACACGACGATTAATTGAATAATAAAAGTCTGAAAATGCATGGCGATTAGAGAGACGCGTTCGCGGACCACGCGGTGTTACGACTGTCGTGTGCGCTGCGCGTTGCCAGACACAAAGCAGGTACGTAGCGATAATACGCGTTAGTCGAACAAAAAAAGTTGTTTATACACAAACGTACTTGAGAAGAGAAACGTAGTTGAGAAGCCGAAACTAAAAATTCACAATATTGCAATGATACACATGCACGAAATCTACTTTTACTCTCTAAAAAATAAGCTAGTTAAATTGGAAATCTAAGAGATGAAATCTTAATTCCTGAAAAAAAATGGGCAAGGGGGGAAGTGCTTAATCGTTTTTTTCAATTATTATGAAAGTTTAGAAAACTCGCTATCAAGTAAAAATATAAAATAATTAAAGTTCCAAGGCTAAACGGTCCAAAAACAATTATATTTTATGAATACGAGTCACTTCTACCGCAACCCTTATACGGTACCCTGAATCGAGTCACTTCTGTCGCTACCTTCGTGTACCACTTCCTAGTGGGGGATAAGCAATTAACAAAGTAAATTTTTGTGATTGAAAAGGAAACAAATATACAGGGCGTTACCAAAAGAAAATTCAAAGTGCAAGAAGTTAAATTCTAATCACAGTCAAGGCAAAATTTTCAGGGATGTGAAAGAAAACGATTATACAAGGTGTCACAAATAGAAAATTTAACCATCAAAGAGGAAAACATCTGAACACTACAAATATTGCTCGTTTTCACCCGATGCTCCGGGAAACTAATAAACAGAGTCTAAACTTAAAGTGCAAAAAAGCCCTAAAACCACAGGAAAGTTTTCAAGGACACAAAAAAGTAAATATACCGGGTGTTCCAGAAGGAAAATCCCAAGTCTAAAACAAAGAACACTCAAAACTCACAAGTAAAGGTGATTTACTTAGTACTGTTAGGAAAACTAATATACTGGGTGTTACAAAAGGAAAATTTTAAAAACTACAAATATGGTCAATATTCACATCATGACGAGAGAAATTTATACCGAAAAACTATAAAAATATATTTTAACATAAATTCAAAGATTTTACCCGAAAATCATCGGAAAAGTTGAGTAAAAAAGGTGCTACAAGAAACACTTACATTTTAATATATTGTGTATATATTTATCATTTGATGATAGCATCAACTGCATAAGGTAACCGACGGCGCGTGGTAATACAATAGGTAGGTATATACGACAAAAATAACTAGTTACTTTTAATATTAAGATATATGGAGACTATGATAGCGAAAAACTATTCAACGTACAAGATTTTATTAGATCAAGAAGAAACTTTTGAATTTAATAATGCAAAGGAGTGTAATTCGATAAAAACGTTCAACGAAAAGAGGAACGAGCCGACGGTCGACGGTAAAGTGAGCCTGGTCGACCACATAAATATTGTCTTTTTAATAATCCTCAGATACTTTTTAACACAGTGTTTGTAATAATTAAATTATGCATGTTATTTTCAAAAACAGAATCTTAAGAATTCTGATAAAAATGCTACCATGTGTTTATAATCTACAAAATTAATATCCTTCAAATGGAATAATCAATTTAAGTTACACCGTCTTAACTTTCCGCGAAAAAATGTGATTAAATACCTATCAGTGCATTGATGAAGAAATTTTAGATCCAGGAATATATCTTATCAACTGAAAACTCGCGCAGAGATTAACGTACACTTCTTTCTCACTTAAAAACACTCTAACCGCCACAACTCATCAAACAAAACCGGCACACATGCTCGTTACGAATATTTTTCTGATGACGAAAAGAATGCACGACGATTAATTGAATAATTGAAGTATGAAAACGCGTGGCGATTACAGAGACGCGATCGCGGACCACGCGGTGAAACGACTGCCGTGTGCGCTGCGCGAAACCAGGTACAAGGCAGGTGCGTAGCGATAATATGCGTCAGTCAAACAAAAAAGTTGTTTATATACAAACGTAGTGGTAAACACATAGTTGAGAAGCAAAAGTAAAAATTCACAATATTGAAATAACACACATACACGAAATCTACTTTTACTATCAATATTTCTCGGCATTAGAAAAATGTATTGTTTTGGGATGCAATAAGGATGAAAAAACACAGGAATTTTTAATTTACCAGTACAAATAAATAATTTATTGTTTTCTAATTGTCTTCATATAAGTTTACTGTATACCTACTCGTAAGTTAATTAAATAATTGATGTTTAGAACACCGCGACTAATTTAAATATTTTCTATAAAATAAAGTATTAAAATAGGTAAAATGAGTATACCATCGTAGGGTGCCCTGAACACAAGTCACTTCTACCGCTACCTTCGTACCGTGCCCTGAACACGAGTCACTTCTACCGCTACCTTCGTAGGGTGCCCTGAACACGAGTCACTTCTACCGCTACCTTCGTACGGGGCGCTGAATACGAGTCACAATTACGCATCTGGGAAAATTATTCTGAGCTAACTCTAACACCCCGTTCGCGTGTTATACTAAAAAAAACTATAATTCCTAGCGCATTCCTAGTGTGTCCTAAGACGCACACACACAACTTTCAATATAACTCGCGTTGCGGAATTTTCTCGCCATAAATTTCAACACAGTGAGATACAGAATTAAATTCCGCATCTGGAAAAATTATTCCGAGCTTACTGTGACACCGCGTTCGCGTATTATAAAGTGCAAAATACAAAAAGAAAAACAACTAAATAACATCATTTCTGGAGTAAAATAATGGGAAACTAGTACACAGGGTGTTGTAAAAATCAATACAAAGAAGCAAATTTAAAACAGAAAAAACAACAAATAACATCATCCTTGGAATAAAATAATGGAAAATTAAAACACAGGGTGTTGCAAAAAGAAAACAACATCTTTTCCAAGGAAAATGCAAAATTAAATGAGGAGAACAACCAAATAACATCATATTTGGAGTAAAATAATGGAAAATTAAACTACAGGGCGTTAGAAAAAGAAAACAACATCAATACAAAGGAAAGTGCAAAGTTCATAAACAAAATCCACTAAATAACTTCATCTTTGGAATAAAATAAAGGAATAATAATAAAATAACTTGAACACTGGATTGACATCAAGGAAAACATATACACATGGTTGAAGCTCCTTATATAATATAAAGAAAATACAAAGTACAAGAATAAAATACTAAATTAATACCATATTATAACAACATATCACCGTACGCGCCCGTGAACACTAAACACTGTCGACAGCCGATAAAATATATCACGATATATCGAATTGAACAAACCGTCGAGATACACGAACCTACCAACCGCCATCACACACGGAGTCGAACAAACTGCAAGCAACTCGGGTGCATGAACATCGCGCCGGCACACTCACTGACAACGTAAAAGTTGTTTATACCCAAATACAGCGCACACAGCGCCCAGTGCAGAAATCAATTCAAGGTTGCTACCAATCATCGAGTTTAAAAGACAGGATTGAATTTATACTTAAATACAAGCGCAGATGCTACAAGTTAATTAGAAAATACCTAATTCATAAAAAGCTTAAAATTGGCATATCGACTTTCCACCGTCCTTTCTCTTATCAATTATTTTCGCCACTTTCAATTCCAAAACAAAAGCTATTAATGAAAATATAACACCAGCACAATAGAGATAAAATATGCCTTTAACATGCGCTAACGTCAAAACAGTTGCTTTCGTTTGTGGTAACTTGTTATCAAGATACTCCAATATGTCAAAGACTTTGTTTGTCAGTAGAAAGATATCCCATTCCCATTTTGTATATAATCCAAATTCCTTACATTTGAGAATAATATCGTTTAAATGCGGTAACAAATGTACATACACGGGTGGTCCAGTGACTTGGATGGTGCCGAATGACTTTTGGTAATAATCTTCCAATCTTTGCACGCTCTTCGCCAAGGGTGTATAGTAACTGTCCAAAAAATTCGACACTAAGTGGAAAAATCAAAAATTATTATTATATGCAAAGTTTTTGCTTGAATTAATGACAAAATGTTACACGTACATTTAATGCTGGTATAATAATGTTGAAATGCATATTTCGAGTACAATGTCTTAGAAAGGCTTGTGCCCTGGAATTGCTTAACGACATTACGGGAAATCAAAATCTTCTGTGTATGCTGCAAATAAAAATCATTAATAAACGAAAATTACCAATAAAAAACTAGGTTTATCTACAGTAAAGGTTTGATTTCGCGAGACATCAAGTTGGAGTAGCGTCATAGCTACAGGTAGTTCTGACCGTAACAAATCGTCAACTGTGCGAATGTTATCTTCATATTGTGGAATAATCAACACGCTAACAACGCCCGATGCAAACAAAGCCGTATAAAGTACAATTACAATTAAAAGCATAGCAACCACGCTTCGGGGACGGTTACTCCGAGGAATCTGTGTATCATTCAAACCTTGCATCAAAAACATACCACCGATAGACAATAACCTTGGACTTCTCGCCTTTCTAAAGATTGCTTTCGCCAGACTAAAATACAACGCACCAAATGCGAGTGATACAAAAATAAATATCCATAAATTGATTTCAAATACTTGAACAAAACGCAGCCAGTGATCGTAAATTCTGTTGAGTACAAATATATTATTTATTAAATAATCCTAGTAACGTTATAAAAAATATAAACTTACTTTGGTTTTGGGACAAAGAAGGAATAATAAACTTCCGTCAACGGATACGATGATGGATAGGAATAAATATTAGGATCTGATACAATCACTTTACCATTTAATAAAGGAGCATAAAGTAATTGAAATCCTTTAACTTCAAAGTCCAAGTTCAAAGATTTCGCAAATACTGCAATTAAATTTTTCTCAGTGCCATAATGAGAGCTATTGATTGTATAATCAAATGGAATGGTGTTAATTTGCGACGGAATGTATACAATATTCATCCCTTCATTTCTTTTCCACCTCTCAAAGAAGTTTCCAACATCATCACCATCATCCGCGAATTTATTAGTGGTAATACACCAACTGTTCAAACGTCTCTCTGAGAGATACGAGTTAGTCGAATTTAAATTAGTAAAACCGTCGACGTGAAAAAAATCGTCTTGTTTTGAAATAAAAATAGAGTTGAGAAAAATTTGATCCAAAAAATTTGTAATATTAACGGTTTCCATTAATATTATCGCTTTAAAACGATAATTTCCGTTGTGGAGAAAACATCCCTTCAGCCACCAAGAATTTAAATATATATTGTCGGAATAATCATGTAGAATGTAATGAGAACAGCCAGGATAGCAGGCGGTCGGATTCATAACAATAGGATTTGAATTATTAAACAAGGTAGGAAACTGATATTCGGATTCATTGTATGGGAACACCATGATACAATACGCATCTTGAAAATTACGCTGCGTGATAACATTGAGGAGTAAGTTTAGTGCAATTTGCACACTTGAGTCGTTGCCGAACATTTTATGTGAACTGCACAAAAGTTGTGTCAAAAGTTACAACAAATTATATTTACTGCAATCAAATAAATAGCTAATGAAGTTAGTTAGCAAATTGTTTGCAGTGACCATAGCAACAAACTAAAAACATATTTATTTGTTGATATAACAAAGGTAGGTTGAAACACTAATTCTAGCATAAAATACTTGCTTCAAATTGATATCATTTCAAATATAATTACCAAAATGACACAAATGTGTTTGTTCTGCAATATAAAACCAAATTTTATTCATTGAAATTAACTGGCTTATACAGCTATACCATAAAAATGAAATAAAATACAATCCTTAAATGTTAGTTACATATAATCATAGTGCCACCAGCTTATTTCTGTGCAGCAAGTGGATTTCTCACAATCAAAATAACTGAATCACCTCTCAAAAACATCTTTGAAATAAACCTATCTTTGTTAACTGGCTTAGACTTCTTTTTTACGAGCACAAAGAAAAGCGAATATACAGGGTGTTCCAGAAGGAAAATCCCAAGTTTAAAACAAAGAACACTCAAAAGTCACAAGTAAAGGCGATTTACTACGTATTGTTAGAAAAACTAATATACAGGGTATTACAAAAGGAAAATTTTAAAAACTACAAATATGGTCAATATTCTCATCATGACGAGAGAAATTTATACGGAAACAACTATATTTTAACATAAATTCAAGGATTTTACCCGAAAATCATCGGAAAAGTTAAGTAAAAAGATGCTACAAGAATAAAACACTTACATTTTATACACTTATATTGTGTATATATTTATCAACTAAATAAGTTAACCGACGGGTGAAGAATCATCATAAATTGATAGAACATCCGGCGGCAAACATCCAACTCAGCAGACGCCAAGCGACGGCGCGTGGTAATACAGTAGGTAAGTACGATAAAAATAACTAGTTATTTGAAAAATATTAAGATATATGGAGACTATGATAGCGAAAAACTATTCAATGTACAAGATTTTATTAGATCAACAAGAAACTTTTTAATTTAATGATGCTAAGGAGTGTAATTCGATTAAAAACGTTCAGCGAAAATAGGAACGAGCCGGCGGTCGACGGCAAAGTGAGCGTGGTCGATCACATGAATATTGTCAGCTAAATAATCTTAAGATACTTTAATAATTAAATTATGCATGTTATTTTCGGAAACGGAACTAAGAATTCTGATCAAAATGCTACCACGTGTTTGTAATCTGCAAAATTAATATCCCTCAAATGGAATAATCAATTTAAGTTAAACCGTCTCAACTTACAGCGAAAAAAAGTGATTACACACCTACTATTGATGAAGAGTTTGTAGATCCAGGAATATATCCTATCCACTGAAAACTCGCGCAGAGATTAACACACACTTATTTCTTACTTAAGAACACTCTAATCGCCACAACTCATAAAAAACAGCCACACATACTCGTTACGAATATCTTGCTGATAATGAAAAGAATACACGACTATTAATTGAATAATAGAAGTCTGAAAACGCGTGGCGATTAGAGAGACGCGAACGCGGCCCACGCGGTGATACGACTGCCGTGTGCGCTGCTCGTAGCCAGATACAATGCACGTACGTAGCGATAATACGCGTCAGTCGAACAAGAAAATTGTTTATACACAAACGTACTTGAGAAAAGAAACAAAGTTGAGAAGCCGATACTAAAAATTCACAATATTGCAATAACACACATGCACGAAATCTACTTTTACTCTCTATAAAATAGGCGAGTTAAAATGGAAATCTAAGAGATGAAATCTTAATTCCTGTGAAAAAATGGGCAAGGGGGGAGGTGCTTAATCATTTTTTTCAACTATTATGAAAGTTTAGAAAATTCTCTAGCATATAAAAAAATTAAAGTTCCAAGACTAAACGGTCCAAAAACAATTATATTTTATAAATACGAGTTACTTCTACCGCAACCCTTATACGGTGCCCTGAATCAAGTCACTTTTGTCGCTACCTTCCTGCGGTGCCTTGAACACGAGTCACTTCTACCGCAACCCTTATACGGTGCCCTGAACACGAGTCACTCCTACCGCTATCTTCGTACGGTGCCCTGAACACGAGTCACTTCTATCGCTACCTTCGTAAGGTGCCCTGAACACGAGTCACTTCTACCGCTACCAGGTGTTTACCATATTATGTTTTCAAATTGTTTTAAATATACCAATAATCGAACGGAATTTTAAGGCCTTTTAAAAGTGCTAAAGAAGATAGGGTTGAAAAGAAGATAGGAAAAATAATCAACTTCAATAAATATACAAATAAAACACCATTATAAAATTTTATTACAAAATCAAGAAAATTAAGATATTGCGACTCGTTCTTGAAATACACCTCGAACAAGGCACAGTGCCGGCCGACGGCATCACACAAGCATACGCGACGGACATTGAGATTACATTTCTCAAACAGTCTAAGAGCAATATTTAATTGACAATGTGATTTCAGGAATAAAAATACCAACGAATAATACCAGCTGAAAAAATACGCGCAATTAAAGGGACGATCAGCACGGTGAAATCGACATTCTGTAGAGAGACTGAAAACGCATCCGACGGCATGCGACAATTTTGAGTTACGACGGTACTCTCGTATCATAGGATTAAAGGTAGAAATATATTAATATTTGCAAACTTACCAGCGTGTTGAATTATTAAATTAAGTACTGAAACAGTAAAACCACGTGTATTAGAATTCTCAGTATGCTGCGCACTTGAGCACGTGAATCACGCATACTCGAATTTGCCAATTGTATACAAATATCTAACTCCAATGTTCATTGTCAAAATAATTCATTGGTCGACGGAACACATATGCACCAAAAAGACCCGACTTTTATAATCGCTTCACGCACAAATTATCATTCACAAAATACTAAACACGTCATTAAGTCCCTATGTTTACGTCGATATTTATACCGAACTATAAAATGTAAAGTAATTCTTTGAACTAAAATGAAGGAAAAAACGTCACGAGCCGAATGCAAGTAAGAACAGATCGAAACGTTCGAACGTTTGTAGCGCGGGCACAGCAGCATTAAGCTGGTTCAACGCGATAACAGAACGTGTTTATACACAAACGCCGATATTATGGCATCGATATCGCAATCGAAACAGCGAGATTTGCGGAATTAACACTTCCGTCATTGCAACTCGCGAGAAACACCGCACAGGTACGCAAACTGGAGTCAACTGTGTCCACGCAAAGACGAAAGATAAGACGCGACTGCCCGAATGCAATACACTTAAGTAGTATCGCTGCGCGAGTGTTCACACCCCAAGGATATTGGCAGATGTAAACAAACAAGCTGATGAAAACACAATGTGACGTATAAATCGCGTGATCTTACCGGGCCCGCAATTCGTCAGTCAAGACGTTGTGCGCTCACTACTACCAACAAACAATACACTGCAATAAATGAATTCAGAGTTTAATATAAATTTACGCATTTTAGCGACATCTTGGCTGATATTGAAGAATTATATTTAAGTAAACGATACATCGCGTGATCTCACACGGCACGAAGTATAGATATAAGGAGTCCGAACGGTATAGGCTTTTTCGTCGTAGTCATGGTTCACAATTATATACAAAGCTAATAGTTCTCTTTTCTGCCACTGGCTGCGCTTGAATCA